TGTTGTATGTTTTTGTCTTTTTTGCCTTGATATCCATCATTCCCCGGTTCCTAGAGCTTGTGTGCCATTTCTATGTTGTAGCAAGCTTCTACCCATGCGGCAATGGCAGTTTGGTTATATGAACGACTCTTTCAGTCTTCATTTTCGTCAACTTGGAAAGAGATGTAGCCTCATGTCTCAAGATGTTACCCTTCACTATGAACCGCCTTGCTACTATAGTATAGCGGCTAGACACTAGAGATACTGTGGGCTCTCAACACTCCTTTTTACTTAATTGAGTGGTAGGCTTTTGGCAGAAAATGATTTGCCTGGCTTCGAAGAGTGACAGTTTCTACTCACAGATCGATTACACAGCCATCGTAACGGCAGCCTCACAGAGTATCAGGTTTCTGAATCAACGAGTATATAGCTTCTTTGGTCACTTCATATGGCATCTCTCAAGCTAATCATGTGCAGCTGATAATCGACATTTAGCAAAGCCAGCCACTATGTATATATTGACACATGCTCCCCTTGTGGTAGCTCTCGACAAACCACTCTTTTCATTCTGCCACAAGTATCGTGCTTGTTTATTTTGTTTCCCCAGTACGCCTTGTACACAAACAGGTCTCAACTGAGGCCGTTGTTGAGAATTGCCCATGTTCAACCATCCGTGACCTAACCAGGACAATATGTAATTATAGGTGATATATGCTATTCAACGCCCAGGCAAGAAAACAGTCGACACAGCATTGGCCGCCAATTACCTCTAATAATAATTCTGTAAATCTGAGCTGTTGTTAGCTGCCTGGCCACCCATTGGTCGCCCCTGAGCACCCGCACCGCCACGAGACGCTTGGTTTCTACCGCCATAGTTTCCGGGGCCATTGGGTGCTGACGCAGGAGGGTTGTTACTCTTGCCGAGCGGTGGGTAAGAATCATCATAATCCACCTGCTGCCCATAGCCGCCCTGCTGGTTCTTAGGCTCAACGTCGTCGAGGGATCGGTAGTTGTAGCCTCCTCCTCTACCACGACCTCCGCGGCCGCCCCTAGCACTGCCACGACCACGATTGCCGCGTCCCCTACCTCCACGACCTCCTGAGTGGTAGCCACGGGACTCATTACGTCCGTTATAGTGGTTACTGGTGTTCCTCTGGCTCCAGTCCTCGTCGCCATTGTGCTTCCGCTTCGATGTCTTGTTGGCGAACAGGCTCTCGTACGCGTCCTCGCGAGGGTCTTCTGGCTCAATGCGTAGGATCACCTTCTCACCAACAACGGTCTCGAAAGTAAACGACTTCTCTGGTGATATGGGCTGCCAGTTCTGTATCTTCCCGGCATCCATCGGTCTGGCTCCCTTCCTCAAAGCCAATACAACAAGAGGACTAGGGTTGTCGGTGTGATACTTGGCATGCTGGGGAATAGGTCGTAACTGCGCCGCCCAAATACTATTATCGAAACAGGAGGTACCAATGACTTCCCACTTCATCTTGCTACCCATTCCGCCGACCTTCTCCAAGATGCTAGCGGGGCATGGTCGGGGGCAGATAAGAATGTTGTTGCCGTGGTACTTGAGCTCATGCTGCGGCATGTTTGGAGGTATATGGGCGAGCTGAATGAGCTTCTTGGTATCCTCGGGCCCAATCATGTAGCCGGTAAAGAAAACAGTCTTCTTAATTCTGAGTCGGTGTTGGCGCTGTCTTGGGGTTTGCTTGGAGACCATCTCATTGTGAATGTTGATCATGTGCTGAACTTCGGCCACCTCGCTAACAGGATCCAGGACCGTCGAGCAGTCGGCCACTTGGATGACTTCAGCCGTGATCGGCCCTCTTGTCGGTGTGATGTTCTGTTGACGGTTGAAATCGGCAAAGAAGTCGCGAAAGCCTTTGGTGTGCTTTGGTCGGTCCTCATAGACTCGGATTTCTTCTGCTTGTTTATAAGTTTCCATCAGGCCCCCAAGGAAGAGCTGCTTGAAGTGCATGGTGCTCTGGAACTTCTGGTTTGTCGGACTAACGGCCGGTTTGAGACCAATCATGTCGAACTCGAGGTCCTTGGCGGTGACCATTTTCTGTATCAGCTCGGCGAACCCTTTCTCTGAACGACCCGTAAGCAAAACGCAGAGAGCATCCTTTTGCTTCATGCTCAGCCTAACAAGATCGACTATCTTTTCATTCCACCAGCCTTCCCAGGCGCGCTTCTCTTCGACATCGATGCCCTCACCGGTTGCGGCGAGAATGCGACTGTCGTGCCACCATCCACCATTGACAAAGGTTTCTTGGTTCGATAATGTTCCGATCGTGGGGCCGTTCCAGAGTTGGGGATTCGGTAGGGGAGTTTTGAATACTGTGCCATGTCAGATCCATGCGATGCGATATCATGAATGGTCGAGAGCAGACTTACGTGTGTTGTCGAAATCATAGACGTGAAGGGCCTTGATTTTATCGACGGCTGTGAAATGTTAGTTTCATCTATAGGTGCTTGAAGACTGAAGGAGGCAAGTCTGGAGGCTCACAAACCTGGAAGAGCATGATTCAGAATAGACCATCGCCCTAGAGCTGTGACAGTATGTTGCGACGCGATGGCAGCAGGACCATGATATGCGCTGAAGGCCGAGGCCATGGCGCCTAAGAGACCGGGTCTGCGATGACGAACTGAGGCGATTGTTGTAGCCAGGACTGAAGGTCGAGAAGTCGCGAGCCAATAGTTATCTCCCGGGCAACGGCGAGTATTGAGTTTTGGTGGAAGTAAGTTAATGATTTTCGATGATGTAGTTGAGGTCCAAGTTTGTCGACCCTGGAGAATTAAAGGCCAGTGGGGCACGGGCCGTCGCAGGGTAAGCGCAGCTGGAGCTGTAGTTGTAACTCCAGCTGTAACTGTAACGCGTCTGGCCTGAGGCTTCAGCGCTTCTATAGGCGATAGACGCCGCATCTCAGGCAGTTCTAGCGGAGCGTCATGAAAGTTGAATATCAATGGGCGAGATCTAAGCCATCGATTGAATTGGACGCTCAATCAATCAATTGAGTGAGATCGTCATCATCATCATCATCATCAT